CGGTTACCAGTTTCTCTATTTCTTAACTCTCCGGTAACTGGCTAGGTGTGTGACTCATTGGAAGTAATCATGAACTCTCCAGAGGTAATCACTGTTTCCTGGAAGAAATCAAGTAATTATTTAGGGGTCGGACTCAACCGAAGTAATCACTACTCGCCGGAAGTAAGGAAGTAATTGCCACAGGAAAAAATTAGGCCTAGGCTATGGGTTCTCCCGAAGAAATCACATCAACAGAAAATATTTCGGTCCGGACTCAATTCCTACGATTCTTAGCTTTCAAGATTCGGAAATCTGCGGTTACCATTTTTTTTTCTTATCACTGTGTTGGGATGCTGAGCGATGACGTCAGAAGTCTCACAGACGTAATGCTATGCTAAGGCACGGTTGTAAAACAACCCTTTTTTTGCTCTCTAGGTCTATGCTATGTTAATCCGCTACTGTAAAACATCTTTATATCCAGTCAGCGAGTCCCAATTTTTTCAAAATTCGGGAGGTGAGATTTTTTACATAATAAAAATTAAATGATAATTGTATTGGTTTTTTGCTGCTCCTGCAACTGCTGCTGCTGCTGTTGTTGTTGTTGTTGGCTAATGATGATGTTTCTGTTGATTTTGTTTTTGCTGTTTTTGTTGTTGTTACTGACGTGGAAGTCTATTGTAGGGAAGGAAACGCATTAATAAAATAGGACACTCGTAAAAAGTATTTTATCACTTTTTTATCTGTGAAAATTGGATTGGCGCGAAACCCAAACACTTCAGCTGGTTTATGGTAAATGTGTATAACGAACTGGGTTTTCTAAGGATCACAGGTGAAAGTCTTATCTCTGAGATTTTGAGCAAGTTCTGAAACGTTAAATCTAGGTATTCTCCTAACTTTCATTTCTTTTACTGAAAGATTCTCAAAATAACAATATTCTGCTCAGCCCTGTGATTTCTAATCCTGAATTTTGTTCTAACAGATTAACAGAAAGCACGAGAACATTTTTATTTCATATAATGATAATACTTATAACTAAAATGTATATTGTACAACAACAACAACAGCAACAACAACAACAGCAACAACAACAACAACCACTACTAGGGTCCTACTACTACTACTACTACTACTACTACTACTACTACTACTACTACTACTACTACTACTACTACTACTACTACTACTACTACTACTACTACTACA